TTAAATTAATCATTCCTGCCTCGATTTCCTCATCTGTAAAATAGGGATAATAATGCCCCATTGATAGAGTTGCTATGAACTTCTAAATGAGATAATTTATATAAAATACCCAGCATATCATTTTGCATATAGTAAACATTCCAGGAGTAATGCCCTCCTTCTCCTCCCCGAGTGAAAAGTCTAAACAGTTGATACAAATAGAGGGACTAAGTCCTTCTTTGACATACTGTTGTTTTGAACACATTTTATGTCTTTCCTTGTCAACACACTCCAGCTGGCAAACTCTTAGCCTCAGAGCCAGAAGACAATAGTCAAGAATCAGCTCTGGTCCTTATTGGCTAGCTGACTTCTGAGCCTGTTTTCTCACGCAGTAAAATGTGGATGGTAACATCTACCCATCTTACCTCATGGGGCTATTGTTAAGGATCTGAAGATGATTAATGAATGGGACTAAGGATCTGAATGGGCTCTGTGACTTTAGCTTGGTTTTTAAGTGGACAAATTTGTCTTCGAATACTTTCTCCTTTCAAGGTCAGTTTCAATTCTTTTTGAAAGGGTACTTGCTTTCTTACCTGCTTTACCCTCACTTTTGTTCTGACTGATTTCCACTAGTCTCCTCTATGGACCAAACTAACCACATGATGTTTCCATCCAACAATGCTTGATGGTAGCCAAGAGGCAAGAGGACATTAGTGGTCTCATTTTGACATCAGTTTGACTCCCTTTCTGCCATGGAAATATGCTACTTCAGAAGCTACTTTCTTTTGTTCCACTCTTCTTGTGGCCTCGGTGACCTCTTAGTTCTCCCTTAGCTGCTCGTGTTGCAGTCCCACCAGCCAGATCTGAGAGTTGAAGGATGCCTGTGCTCTCTAGCTCCCTTTTGAAGACAAGGGTCTTTGTCTTTAACTGAGGTTGAGCACATTTGACTCTGTAAAGTTCACATTTAACCAATGATGACTCCTCCTACTGAGAAATTAGGTTCAGCACCCTCACAAGGCACTGAATTGTCATGTAACAAAGCAATTGTCATCTTATCTTTAACTGCAATATCCTACATACACAGATCTCCATTTCTCAATTTCAGAAAAGTCAAATGAAGTTTGGAACAATAACATAAAAAATAGACAAATGTAAGAACAATGGAAAAAAAGAAAGATGACAAGAACTTGGTTTTGTTCAGTAACTTTAGAAAGTATGTCTTAAATCCGGCATCTAAAAGAAGTCATATGTAAAGGAAGAAATGAAGAGACTAGAAATAAAGAAAATTAGAAATATCATAAGGAAAATTTTATGAAAATTAAAATGATGAAGGGAATGGCAGTGGGGAATTGTTTCTTGAAGAAATTCTAGATTGGTATTAACCAATCATTCATTCAGCAAAAAAAAAAAAAAAAAAAAAAAGAATTGCTTCTGTTTAATAAAAAGAATACTCTATTGGGAGTCAGGAGTCCTGAGCGCTAAATGTGTTGTGCCATTAACTAGTTGTGAGACTCTGGAAAGATCACTTAACCTGTCAGGACTTCAGTGTTCTTACCTATAAAACATGGAGGTTGGATGCAGCATGAGACTGTGCCAGAGATCAAATTCACTGCATTTGTTTTACATTCACTGGCTAGTGAGGTCCTATTGTTGGCATCTTTTCCAACTCTGCCTCCAGTGACATCACATTGGTAGTTTGAAATCGAATTCTTCTTGCTAACAGATAGCAGGGCAAGAAAAGGGTAAGAACTTCCCTCCCCTTTAAGCTTGGGCTCCTGGCCCCTCGAGGTATGACAAGGATGCTCACAGTGCTGATGATGTGATAATGCGCTCGGGGAGGTGGGAAAAAGAGTTCTCGGTTGAAAAAAAAAATAAACCACAGAAAGTAGGGAGACCTTTCTGTGGGTTTTCTTCATGGGTCGGGAGCCAGGACAGGGGGTACAGGGGGTAAGGGAATTCATATACCCTTTGTTCTACTGCTTTGTTACTAAGTACCAGTTACTTAGTACTTAGTACTAAGTTACGAAGTAACAAAGTACCAAGAAAGAGGTAAAATCAGAATTATAGGCTCTCAAGGGAAAAAATTCCGGAAGGGGCTCCCTCACCCACGTTTTTGTTTGTTTTTTATTCCTTGAGTAAACAGATCTTCAGCACCTCCCTGCTTCCCCCATATTTGTGCCCATGAAGAGGAAGACATTCATCAGAGTAAGGCATCCTGCTGTCTCAAGGAGGGAAACTTTCCTAAGCAAATTGAGAAACATTTCTTGCCCCAGAACATTAAGAGTCAGTTTGAAGAAAATTAGTATCTATGCTGCCCAATATGGTAGCCATTAGCCCTAAGGGTCTATTGTACACTTGAATGAGGCCAGTCTGAATTGAAATGTGTTCTAAGTACAAAATACACACTGGATTTTGAAAATTTAACTTTTAAAAAATAAATGTAAAAATATCCCAATACATTTTATACTGATTAATCTTCACTAGAGGTATTTTGGATATATTGGGTTAAATAAAATATATTCATAAAATCAGTGTCATCTGTTTCTTTTTACTTTTTTTTAGCCTTATTAGTTGTGTGTGATTGGTTGACCCTTTGGGTATACAGATGTTAGTCTGAGTGGCGTCTTACTCATTTGTTCATAAGTGGATGATTGTGCATGTGTTGTATGTCATAGTATGTCATCACACAAAAGGGAGGGAGCAAATAACCATTACATTAAGACAATATTGGACCAAACTATTTACTAGCTATAAACAGTTTCTTGTACCCCTTAACCTGTCTTCAGAAGTTGCATAGAGTTATAGTAGTGTGTAAATTAAATATTGTGGAAAAACAATTAGTCTTGTATTTTTCTGTATGTGTGTGTACATATATTATATATATATATATATATATATATAAAATTAAGTACTTCTGGCAATTCTATCTGTATTTAAAGATGTGACAATCTTGACACCGATTTTAAGAATAGCTGTGAGACTGAATCAAAGCAAAGATATCCCTACCAAGTAAGAATTGATGTGTGTTAAGAGGGTACAGAATTATCAGCTGATTTGGTCAGTTGCTTCCACTGCTGGTTGATTTTCCTCATTGTGTAAATATTGACAGGTATGTGACAAATGGGAAAAAAAAAATCCAAATAATAAAGTGGCATATTGGTGTTCAGCAATAAAAAAAAAAGTAACCAATGATGTTTCTATTGGACTGCCTGGGCTAAAATCCAGGTCCCACACAGAGCCCTTGAACTGTTCATCCAGATTCTGTTTGAAGACCTCCAGTGACAGGGAACTTACTCCTAAGCAGACTATTCTATTTGAGACAGTACAACTCTTAGATTTTCATTGGTTTTAGTTTTAACCTTTGGGGCCACAAGACAGACTTCCAAGATGAACACTGTGTTAATGTCTAACATCAGCCTGTGGTCTTCTCCCATTTGGATTAAGCATCTCCTTCAGCACCCCTTACTCATTGAGAGATAGGCTTTGTAATCAGGAATAAGGCAAAATACCTTTTCAGACTCCAAGAACCTCAGCATGGTTTCTTGGGAAATCTCTCCTTTAAATGCTTAATCTCTCCTTTAATGGGAAATCTTTCCTTTAAATGCTTAATATACTGCTTTTATTGGATAATTTGTTACTACTGTAGGAACAAGAAGTCACTACTTTTAATAGCTAGCACTTAGGAAGCAATTCCTATGGGCCACACTATGTTCTAAACATTTTCCATTTTGTAACTCACTGAATCCTTGCAAAAACATGGTGCAGGTAACATTACGCTCCCCATTTTAGAAACAGGGAAACTACAACACAGAGTAAGCTCCTGGCAGAGGCAGGGGACTTTCACTTGTGCTTTTATAATCACTGCTACTTCTTTTTTCTTTTTTTTTAAGTAGGCTCCACACCCAGCATGGAGTCCAGCACGGGGTTTGAACCCACCACCCCATGACCAAGACCTGAGCTGAAATCAAGAGCTGGATGCTTAACTGACTGAGCCACCCAGGTGCCCCATATAATCACTGCTACTTAATGCTCATCATGATTTAATGTTTTCTGTGGTCTGCACCCTCTCTGGAAGTCTCCTGGTGGTGGCCGTTTCTGTGTTATTGTTGTGCTCCCAGTCCTGCCCCCACCATTACATGGAGAGTATGGAGTGCTGTTTGCACAGACTGCACAGAGATGACCTGTGCTGATTTGGGAGAAAAGAAGGGGGATCAGGAATGAAAAGTTCAAAGTTGAGATCCCTTCGATCTCATTTCAAAAAAAAGGGGGGGGGAATGAAAATTCTAAGGTACTTTCTTTCTGAAGTTAAATAGGTTGAGTCTAGAGAACTAGAAAAGAGAGACTCAACAACGTCTTTGCGAATTGAAAAGCTGTGAATCTGTTCCTCCTGAGTAATCATCAGTCTTGGGGAGGGGCGGGGAGGGGAAGAGGTAGAAAACAAGCGTAAGTCAGTTTGAACAACTTAGAATACTGATAAGGATGAACTTTGTAGCTGTAAAAAAAACTATGGATGATTAAAAAGTTTGTTCACAGAAAAAGACACATTGTGAAAATCTCACGGAATCCATCTTTGGAGGATCATTTATGATCCTTAGACCCACCGTGAAGAAAGACAACAGTGCCTTCCTCCTTTTGGCCAAAAACTTTCAGAAGATATTTCTTGGTGGTTAGACAGGAATATTGTGAATTGAAAAGCAGAACACACAAACTACAGAGGAAATGCTTCTAAGAACAGAGCAGGGAAGGAACAATGGGACATGAGAGAAGTCAGGAGGAGACGGGGGTTCTGTGGGGCTGGGGGCCAGGTGGCTCCTCTGGCCTGAGAAGCAGCCTCCCTACTCCTGGTCCCTGGCTTCCAGGAGGAGGCAACCGGTTTCCCCGCAGAGCCAGTGGTGCAGGGGACTTTTGCTTTCCTCCTCACCACAGGTATTGAAAGGAATCCATTAACCTTGACCCAAAAGGGAAGGTGTGTCATCGCCCCCAGGCCCCAAGTCAGAAAGCTTCCACTTCAGTCAACTTACCCAACAGCTGTACGGCGGCCGGAATGAGAGAGAGGAAAACCAGGAGCAGGGACAGCCTCATGTCCCAGAGTTTATCCTTCGCTTGCACTGATGGAGAGGAGGGGGTAAGAAGGAACCAAAACAATGCAGGCACCCAATCACCCCTTCCGCTACTCTGTTCTCAGAGCTGCCCTGCTGAAAAGAGGTGTGGAGGAAGCTCTCACTTTTAAAGGGCTTCTGAAATTAGGGAAAACCTCCAATAAGGAGATATCCTGTCACATGAGGGTAGTTGGAAAAACAGGAATTCAAAGTTACAACTTTGCTTTGTAAGCTAACTTCTGAGAAGAGCAGACACAGAGGAAGGGAAGAAAGGGACACATGTGGGAGAGGGGTGAGGAAGGGGGGGTGGCGAAAGGGTGATGGTGAGAAACGCAGAGACAGGCTGGCCTGCAGAGAAGGGGAGAAGTGAAACAGCTGTTTGCCTTAGGGCTGGTTCAGAAGGGGCTGTGTGAAGAGCAAGCAGGAGGCCATTACCTGGGCTGGAAAGCTCGGGTTCCCTCTGGGAAGCAGCTGAACCAATGGTCCCTCAGCAGACAATCCCAACCTAGAGTGACAGAAATGGCAGGCACTAAAAAGGACAGTTTCATGCTGGAAATCTTTTCTTGAGGGTTGTAACTGATTCCCCTCATTATCTATATTCAAATAGTGCTTGGAGTGTCTTTTTTTTCTTGGATTCAAAAGACACAGTTCTCACAGAGCTTTGTTCGTTTAGCCAGAAGAAAAGTGAGAGGCTAAACCTAAAAGGGAATCTCCTCAAGGCTGGGAAGCAGAAAGTTCTAGAAGGCTTTTTCTAGTAAGTTCTCCAGAAAAACATAGAAAAGAATGACAAAAGATCCTTGATGCCCAGCCTCAACAATACTGGTTTTCTTCAACTTCAGAAAGGTCCTCTTAGAGGAGAAAATCTGCTCATTTTGTCACAAGGATGTATATTCATTACATGATGGGTGGAATTCTTTCTTTAAAAATAAAAATTGGAGCACCTGGATGGCTCAGTTGGTTAAGCGTCTGACTCTAGATCTCAGCTCAGGTCTTGATCTCAGGGTTGTGAGTTCAAGCCCTGCATTGGGCTCCATGCTGGGTATGGAACCTACTTAAAAAATAATGATAATTTTAAAAATAAATAAAAATAAAAACAAAAGTGTTCATTAAACACAATATTAACCCCTAAACATCTACTTTATTATTTTTCAGAAGTAAAACATGGATTAAGAATATCTTGATGCAGATATCAATAATTAGATAGCCAACCCACACCTAGAATGTGGTAAAGATTAGCAATTCAAAATGAAGCTGCTAGAAACATTGCATTTTCTTGAAAAAAATTTTTTTAAAGATTTTATTTATTTATTTGAGAGAGAGAGAGAGCATAAGTGGAGGAGAGGGGAGAGGCATAGGGAGAGGGAGAAGCAGGCTCTCCGCTGAGCAGGGAGCCCGACACAGGATTTAATCCCAGGACCCTGGGATCATGACCTGAGCTAAAGGCAGACACTTAACCGACTGAGCCACCCAGGCACCCTTTTTGAAATTTCAAATAAGTAGTTTATCATCAAGTGGAAAGCCCCAAGATTGACCATTTTTGTGAAAGTTCTAAAAGTTATAAACTGCTTCCTAGGAAGAAACGTGATATAGTCTGCTTACTGATTTTTTTAAACATTCTAAATTTAAGATTATTCAGACAGGATGCAAAAGGCGGTAAAAATGTAGGACACAGGGCAAAAGTTTGGGGTTTTTTTTCATTAATCTAAGACTTGACTGACAAAGTTGGTTATGAAACAGATGAGGGGTGCCTGGGTGGCTCAGTCATTAAGCGTCTGCCTTTGGCTCAGGCCATGATCCCCAAATCCTGGGATTGAGCCCCACATTGGGCTCCCTGCTCAGAGGAGGGTCTGCTTCTCCCTCTCTCGCTTCCCCTTCTTGTGTTCTCTCTCTCTGTCAAATAAATAAATAAAATCTTAAAAAAAAAAAAAAGAAACAGATGAAACAAAATGGTTGTTTCTGAAATACTGTTTCACTGATTTATCACACACACACAAAAAATATTTTAAATGAATCATTCATGGCCTTTAAATGTAAATAATTTATATAAATTCAAAAAATTTTGCCTAATTTGGATTTATATCAATTTCAGAAGCAAAGAAAATGTAACTGTATTCTCTCTATACTCACCCTCAAGGTTTTTTGAATTACACAAATGTGTCTGTCACATGGCCAACCAAGATCTGTGGTAAATCTGTGACTTTGAAACAAAAGGAAGCCAACTGTCCCACAAAGAATTTACCCCAAGGCCTTGACCTTATTGAAACAAAAATATATCAGGCTAGAAGGGGTGGACAGGCAAAAAGAAATCCAACACAGAATATGATGGAATAGGAAGCTCTAGGAATACATCATTTCTTCTAAACAACTATTGAACTGGCAGGAACTGTCTGAAGTAACTATTTTGGAACTCTGGACTCTAGTAGAAACCTTGGAACACCCAGTGGAGAGCTGGTAAATTTCAATGAATTTCAACCTTTCCCTTATGGTAGTGGCTACCATCCTCCATCCCCAATCTTTGTGGTTAGTGGTGTGAGGGTGGCATACTGAGTTTCTGGTGCAGCTTGCTAGAGCCAGGGTGGATACTAAGGACGTTGTCCTTCAAAATATCAGTTATGGGTTCTGAAGCTTGACCACTGCTTTTAATTGCTTTCAACACTTTTATTCGACATAGTATTAGAAGTTCTAGCTTGAGTAATTAGGCAAGAAAAAAAAATTAAAAGTATCAAACTGGAAAAGAAGTAAAAGTATTTCTCAAGAAGTGAAATTAACTCTTTTCACAGATGGCATGATTTTATATGTGGAAAACCCTAAAGCTTCCACCAAAAAAATTGTCAGAGCTAAGAAACAAATGAAACACAGTTGAAAGATACAAAATCAAAACACAAAAATCAGTTGTATTTCTATATACTATTAATGAAAAATCTGAAAAAGAAATTAAGAAAACATTTCCATTTACAATAACATCAAAAAGAATAAAGTACTTAGGAATAAGTTTAACCAAGGAGGCAAAAGACTTATACAATGAAAGCTACAAACATTGCTGAAAGAAATTAAAGAAGACCTAAAAAAATGGGAATATCTTCCCATTCTATGGGAATTCTATGTTCATAGAATTCCATGTTCGTAGATAATAAGAAGACTTCATATCATTAAGATGACAGTACTATCCAAAGAGTTCTATAGATTCATGCAATTTCTATAAAAATCCCAATGATACTTTTTGTAGAAATAAAAACAACCATCATAAAAATCACATGAAATCTCAAGAGATACCACATAGGCAAAACAATCTTGAAAAAGAATATAGTTGGAGAACTCAATTCATACTTCCTGATTTCAAAACTTACCACAAAGCTACAGTAATCCAAATAGTGTGGTGCTGGCATAGGGGAAACATGAGACCAATAGAATAGAATAGAAAGCCCAATTCTCACATATGCAGTCAATTGATTTTTCACAAGGGTGCCAAGACCATTCAATGAAGAAAGAAGTCTCTTCAACAAACTGTGCTGGGAAAACTGTATATCCACATACAAAAGAATGAAATTGGGCTTTTATCTTATACAAAAATTAACTCAAAATAGATCAAAAGTCTAAATTTAAGAGCTAAAACTATAAAACTTTTAGAAGAAAACATCAGGAAAAGTCTTCATGACATTGGATTCAGCAATGAGTTTTTTGGGGGTGGTGGCAGATATGACACCAAAAGCACAGAAAATAAAAGAAAAAATACATAAATTGGGCTTCACCAAAATTTAAAAAATTGTACATCAAAGGATACAATCAAAAGAGTGAAAAGACAATCTAGAGAATGGGAGAAATTATTTGCAAATCACATATCTGATAAGGGATTAATATCCATAATATATAAAGAAGTACAACTCAATAGCAACAACACAATCAATTTTAAAAGTGACAACGAGCTTGAGCAGACATTTCTCCAAAGAAGACACACAAATAGCCAATAAGCACATGAAAAGATATTCAACATCAGTAGTGATTAGGGAAGTACAAACCAAACCACTGTGGCATATCACTTCACACCCATTGGGACAGCTACTATCAGAAAACCAAAACAGAAAATAATAAGTGTTGATGAGGATGTGGAGAAATTGGACCCTTTGTGCACTGCTGGAGGGAATGTAAAATGATATAGCCACTGTGGAAAATAGTTTGGCCATTCCTCAAAAAGTTAAACATATCATTGTCATGTGATCCAGCAATTCCAAAGAACTGAAAACAAAGACTAACACAGGTATTTGTACACCAACATTCATAGCAGCATTATTCATACTAGCCAAAAGATAGAAGCAACCCAAGAGTCTATCAGCAGTTGAATGGATGAACGAAGTGTAGTGTTTGTCACTCACACAATGGAATATTATTCAGTCGTAAAAAGGAATCTGATACCTGCTACAAGAAGTACAACCATGAAAACACTATGCTAAGTGAAATAATCCAGGCACAAAAGGGCACATATTGTATGATTCCACTTATATGATGTATGTAGAATAGGCAGATTCATAAGAGACAGAAAGAATAGAGGTTACCAGGGACTGGTGAGGAAGGGAGAGTGAATGTTCTTGTTTAGTGGGTACAGAGTTTCTGTTTGAGATGATTAAATGTTCTAAAAATAGATAGTGGTGATAGTTACACAATATTGTGAACATATTTAAAGCTACTGAGTTGTACACATAAAAACAGTTAAAGTGGGAATTTTTATGTTATGAATATTTTACCACATTAGAATAAAATCTGTTACCATATTCTTCTACTAAGTTTTGGTTCTGGTTTTTGCTTAGCTGTTGATGATGGTGGTAGCTTTTAACTAGCACTTCCTTCAAGCTAATGAAGTATTTCTACAAAATTAAGAAAATTCTTACTTTTTTAATTGGCAAGATAATTGCTGAACTATTTCATTTCCTCCTAGACATTCTCTTTCTCAAGCATCACATACTTCACACCCACTCAATTCCATGAAAGATGAACTTGATGACTCTTTTGCTCTGAAACAGTTCCAAGAAAATTAGCTCAACACATTCTTTGTAACCTGTTGTATCATTTCTCATTCAGAAGTTTGTTTTGTTTAAGCAAGCCTGTCTTTTGATGGGCAAATTTGCTCAAATGGTATCACAATAATTGTGACCCAGAAAAAAAAGAAGATGTAATGATGCAGCTGAGTATAAACTTAAAAATTTAAAGTATGGAACACTGTTTCTTTATGTTCTTATTCCTC